AGAAAAAAAGAGGACAAGGATTGTTGAGCTCGTTTCGAAGCAGAGGAAAACAGACAGGTATAACTGAGTTGTGTTGAAAATGACCTTTGGAGTTGCAAATTTGTTACTCAATAAAGCATATATCGGGAACAAGAACATCGTGGATGGAAAGCTAGCGGCCAACTGGGAAGGCCCTTGCCGGTTAATTGGATGTATAACAACATCTAGATGAGAAAGTCATCCCAAGCCATTGGAATGCAACAAAATTGAAGAGGTACTGCAATTAATTGCTCAGATGACAGAACTTAGGGATAGGAGCTCGCCAAGATTATTTCTTTCAATTTTATTCATTTCTTGTCACTACGTAGATAGAACCCTTTCAATATTGCTTTTTCTTTTTAAAAGTTTCAATTATAAGCTTGAATTTTATATGAATGAAGAAAACAAGTTCCTGAAAATGAGTTACTTGGAAAGAAAACCACAAGTCCCTTGTTGTCGAAGTAATGGTACCTTGGGCACCTGTCTTTCCTTCTTGGAAGTGGGAAAATCAAAGCCCCTTGTTGTCAAGCAATAACACCTTGGGCACCCTCCTTTCCTACCCAGAAAAGGAAAACAAAAAAATCAAAGTCCCTTGTTGTCAAAGTAATGGCACCTTGGGCACCCGCCTTTCCTATCAGGAAGCAAAAAAAATGAAAATCCCTTGTAGTCTAACTAAAGACACCCTGGGCACCTGCTTTTCTTAGCCGGAGGCGAAAAAATAAATATTCCTTGTTGCCTAAAAATGGCACCAAGCTGATCGATTTCATCAAGTCCAAGAACATATTCGAAGATCCATCAAATCAAGAAACAGGAAAAAAAAGGAAGTTAAAACCATGCATCCACCAAAGTATGTCCAAGTTGGTACCCCCGAACAGCAAAAGCAAAATGAAAATATCATTTAGTTCATTATCAAAAAGCTGGCATTTTCGGCCAAAATAGTCATTACAAAAAGACGAGTGGCATACCACCCCCTTAAGAACTCTGGGCCTCTAGGTTAGTTTGTCTGGGAAGATAACTTTCAGCATGACGGGATAAAAGAAGAATTTTGTTGTCATCTGCACCATCGGTGAATACCTCGGAACCTTCTATGTAGTTAAAGATGTCAATTTTAACAAGTCCTTGAAGCTCAACTCCTGGGTTGTAGAAGGCAACCTAGTCTAACACCCGACCACGGATCGGATGATTGAAAGCTTCAACTTTTTCATCCATTTGAATAGTTCAACTTTTCCACTTTCTTGCGGAGATTCTCCCCAATCAGCTCTACCTTGACTACCTAGAGGTCAGCTTCCTCATGATCCTTTTTGATGCATACTAAAATTAGGCCTTTTTCAGGTAATGTTACCTGAAACCCACTTCCTTTGTCGGAGATAACCAAAATTAGCTTGCAAATCTAGATTTATATGGACAAGCTTTGAAAAAGGAAGAACCTATACCCGAAGTAGCCTGGACGATAAAGGGAGAACTCTGCCCGGTTGTAGGAGACTGTGTTTCTTGGGAAATAACAGGGAGAAAGTTTGTTTTTTCTCAGCAGCAGCTCTCCTCTGAACAAAAAAGGCTGCATCCATTGCTTCATTTGCAAATAAGGAAAACCGTTAAAAGATGCATATGAAGGCGAACCATTAAAAGATGCATATGAAGGCGATATAAGAGAAATAATATATAATATACTCACTGAATGCAACTCGGACCGACTCTATTAGTGAGCTAGATGCCAAGATCCAGTGAGAAGTAATAGCTGCACCCTCTTTAACCAACTCAGTGACTTTTTCAACAAACCAATCATAAGTAACCCGTTTAGAGGCCTCCAAGTTCTTCGAACTGCAAAGGTATACTTGCGCAGAGGGAGTATAATGAGCCCGACTCCAAGATAGACAGAACCAGGGAGACCCATCTTCATTCAAAAAGAAGGGGAAAAGGCTACAACACTTGAAGGAGAAATAGAACTCGAAGAACCAGAAGTCAGAATTTGCGGAGCACAAATTTTGAAATTATCATCCTTGAAGTTTTTTCAGTTATCCTCATAGATAATACACAACCTTAAACCCGAATGGGCTTTCAATAATTCCTATCCATAATGAGCATTACCTTGTCTATAGCATTCCAGAAAACCGCAAAGAGACAAAAAATACGGCAAGAATATGCAAGCCCATGAGCTCGAGAAATCATCTCAAAAACACGAAGAAAACACCACCCGTTTGGATGGAGTTAAGAAGGCACGCCATCAAGGTAATGAAGTACGTCTACCTAGAGATTCGAAAAAGGGAGCCTAACTCCCACCTTTGAGAATAAGCATTTATATACAAACAATGAAACCCTAGCACCTTGTCTAAAAGATTAGAAGATCCTCTCTTCCACATCGGGGGCTTCAACCTGGATGAAGCTACCCGCTGCGTTATCTGAAAGACGAATCGAACTCAACGCCGACTGAAAAGAAGCTGGATCATCTTCGTAGGAATAATGAAGGCCTAAAGCTTCCTTATCCACCCACTCCAAACCTACAAGATTGGACAGAAGAGCGAACCAGGAAGCAGGAAGCGAGCGATATGGTTGATTTCTCCCCATGTGTCTAGAAGGGAAGGCTCAATTACACTTTAAGATGAAAGTCATCCAAATAGCTGATGAATTATCTAGTTCTAGAGGAAAGGGGTGCGAGGAAACCCTAATACGCCTGAAACCTAGTAAATGGAAAATAAGAGTTTTGTAACTACGGCTCGAACCCCTATCAGACGACATAAATCGTCTTCTCATCATGTTAAAGAAAGTCAATCAATTAATAAAGTCTCTCACACTCAAAATGCCTTTCACCATATGTCGATCATCCATGAAACTATTCTAGCAACCAAAAATGTAATTGCACAAACATAAAGGATCAACAGAAAAGGAAAAGCTGAAAGACGAACACGCAAAAGAGAAATTACCTGAAAATACAATCAGAAGACACGACGAAAGGTGACAGGTTCTGGTGTGCTCCTTGAGGCACTTGGAACGGTGAAATAACCTAAGAAACGATGGTAATAAAGATACTGGAAAACTGAAAAGAAATAAGAGTAAAAAGAAGGTAACCAAAAGAATGGAGAAAAGGAAGAGCTACGACTATTGGCGTTTGAATTTCGAAAACAATCAAATGATTTCGCCTAGTGTCGCATGACAAGACCGCAACTAGTAAAGCTGCGACACGTGGCATAACAAAGCAACAAGGCGAGGTCCGAAGTTAAGAATCAACACCTTAGAGTACCAACTTACGCTAGTCTGAGCCAGGGGGCTTAATGTTCCTGGTATATACCCAGACAGATCCACCCTCTCTATGCCCAACGGGTTAAGCCCACTTGGAGGATTTGGAGACCCCACCATCCGAGTAGGGAATATTCGGCTTAGACTGCAACCCACGAACCTGGATCGTGGGGCTGCTCCCACATTCCTTCTCCATTTAAACCCACGATCATCTCCCAATCAGTGATACCCATGATCATCCCCTAACTGTATACTAAGGCCACGATCAACATGATAGCCATACTCCAGGGCTTGTATAAATACATCAACAGTAGCAAAAAACAGGGACTTTTATCGTACTGCATTCAATCATGCATGCTAAGCCAAATACGATCATTACATATACATTTTGCCTTACGTTGTCGGTACCAGTTGAGACCCTTATCTAACCTTAGAGCATTCTCGGTACACCTACATTATCACCCTCGCATTGTTATTGGTTTTCACTCTGAACAATATTAAAATTTTACAATTTCGAGATAGGTTCAGAGTTCCATTCATGCTATATTATATTAAATAAAAATATAATATAAAGTAATGAGATGGTTATATTTACAAATTTTTGTTTACAAACTCTTACAAACTATATTATGTACTTCCGGAAGTACATTCGATTAGTAATTTACTTCTAGGAGTACATAGTGTAATTAGTAAAAGTTTGTAAAAAAAAGCTTGTAAACGGATCCTTCCCCTAAAGTAATAAATCTAACTCCAGTTAATGATTTAAGTTTTGAATTGAATGGATTTCTTATGCACTTTCTATAAATATAATGAAACCATTACACAATTCTCAATCTTTATACTATCATTAGATTTTTTTTCCGGTAGATATACTATCATTAGATTAATTCCTTGTATGGTGCTATTTGAACTTGAAATCCATGATGAAATATCTCATATAAAAACTAAAAAGGTCTCGATTATACTAGTAGAACATTGACAGTTTGGAAGGCCTCAACTGAGAAACACTGAACTTAAGCCCATCCCTTGATCGTTACACCCGGTCCATTCAAAATGTTTTCTAATTTTTTGATTTTAAAGCAAAATTGTTAACTAAATGATGATAGTTCAATTGGTGCTAAGGAACTGAGCAGTTGGGGATAAGAGCATGTGTTTGATCCTCCCAATATCGTCTTTGGGAGGAATTTAAAACCTTAATCCTGGATCCACCCCAAATAAGACTAGTCGCAAAACGATGAGTCAATTGGAATATTTCTAAAAAAAAGTAACATTGTTTAGGATAATTTGTAAAACTTCAAGAAGAGTAATTTCCAAATACATTTTATTGTGGTTACTTAAAAAATGAAAAATATCTTTGAAAATTCAAATCAAATAGCCTCTTGATTTGTTGTTTCAGTATACTTTTTTTTAATATAATAATAGTGTTGATATTCATACTTACAATCTCGTCTAAATTATCAAAGTCGTTGAAGATAAGATTTAGTTTGTTGAAATATTGTTGTAATTGGATAAGATTAATTTGTTAGGTTGTTCTGATTTATAGAAGCTGTTAACTATTTTTAAGTAGGTATTGTTATTGATACTTGTATATATACCTCAATTAAGGAGGAGAAAAGTAATGAATAGATGTACAGTTCTTGGAATAGAAATTTCAAGGTCCAAACAAGGAATTTTCTTATCTCAAAGAAAATATATTTTGGACCTTCTCTCTAAAACTGGATTGTTGGGCAGCAAGCCAGCAGATACTCCGAATGGAGATGAATCACTCACTTGGTGTTTATCGAAATCATATTGACGCAGATAAGGACATATATCAAAGGTTGGTAGGTAAATTAATATACTTGTCACATACTAGACCTGATATTGCATATTCTGTAAGCATTGTAAGCAGATTTATGCATTCTCCTAGTGAGGAACATATGAGAGTTGTGTACCGAATCCTAAAATATCTCAGAGGGTCTCCAGGAAAAGGGCTGCTATTTTCAAAAAATGATAGACCATGCATTGAAGGCTATACAGACTCAGATTGGGCTGGTGATAAAACTGCAAGGCAATCAACTTCTGGGTACTTTACTTTTGTAGAAGGAAATTCAGTCACATGGAGGAGCAAGAAACAAAAGGTAGTGGCTAGATCAAGTGTTGAAGCCGAATTCAGAGGCATGACTTATGGTGTCTGTGAACTGTTGTGAATTAAAAACATATTAGCTGAATTGGGAATTATATATGGGTTTTATAAAAGTTATGTTGTAGGAAAAGTGATTGTGTTATGTTATAGAGATTCGTTTTCCGTGCCGTAATTTTTTTTTATTTTTTTGCTTCAAAAAATGCGGGCCCCACAAAATGTTGTGTGTGTAGGAAATTTTTTGTGGTCATGTTGCATGATGAATGCAAACCCCATTACATATAGTCAGCCAATGAACCTTTTATGTGACAACAAAGCTGCAATATAAATAGCTCGCAATCCGGTTCAACATGACAGAACTAAGCATGTTAAAGTAGACATGCATTTTATAAAGGAGAAGCTTGACAATCACATAATTGAGATTCCTCATGTACGGTCTCAAGAACAACTTGCTGATGTGTTGACTAAAGCTGTTTCTGAAAAGTTTTTGAAGAAACTATTAACAAGTTGGGCATAGTAGATATTCATGCACCAATTTGAGGGGGAGTGTTGAAGATAGGATTTAGTTTGTTGAAATATTGTTGTAATTGAATAGGATTAATTTGTTAGGTTGTTCTGATTTATATAGAAGTTGTTAACTATTTTTAAGTAGGTATTATTATTGATGCTTGTATATATACCTCAAATAAAGAGGAGACAACTAATGAAGAGATGTACATTTCTCAAGATTGGAATTTTAACAAAAGTTATTTACCATTTGATTCTATATAACATCTTGTTTTAGCAGTGGCAAAGTGGGTAATTTGCTATTTTATTAAAAATGGGTTGAATATCTTAACACCCTATTTTATGGTAGAATGATGAGTCAATTCATCTATAATAATAAAATTAAAAAAAAACAAAATAAAGAGATTAAGTGAAATATTTTAGTAGAAATTAAAATATTTTATCCAAATTATTCAATAAGTTAAAAAAAAAAGTTAAGCCCATTGGACCAATTCAACTCACTAAAAGGGTTAGGCAGGTTGACTCCACTTAATTGCCGTCTCTATAAATAATTCCATGTATTTCTTACTAAACTGGCATATATTTTGGATTTGTAAATGATGGGTTGCCTACCATGCTTTGACTCCGATTTCATGGCCGATTTCATTAATCTCTTTTGAAACATTGGACACGTGTATGCTTGCGCGGCAACAAGTTGAACGTTTTGTCATAATACTGTTGTATATTAATTGGCTCTATGTGTGGATCATTTGAAAAGAAAATGTCTTTTGGATCTATCATCACTCGGGACGTCGCGCCATCACAAGGATGACAAGGAAATTTGAGATAGAGTTGTAAAATAATAATAATAATAATGAAAGTGAATAAAAAAAGGGAAATTAACTTGTCATGTCGCATGGAAATTAGTCTTCATACTTGCAGATAGAAAACTATGGTGAGATCAACCCACTAAAACATTAAATCAAAAAAAATAAATAAATACAATCTCCATTTTCAATGTCTCAACAGGTATGAACAGTAATTTTCCTCCAACATGACAAGTTGATTTCTCTGAAAAAAATTGCTAATATATTACTTAATTGTTTTTAGTTTTTAGAAATTGATTCTGGACAATTATGTTTAGCATTGGTGTTCAGCCAAACTTAATAGTATCTCAACACATCCATTTGATTTTGAACCGATTACCTAAAACCTAAAATATATTGTTAATATTAAACCTTGCTATTATATTGCGTTTATGCCTTACACGTAATTATAAACAAACAACAAACTAAGCATTTTTGTTGTTTGTTTACGTGTAATTAAGCGCTTTTGCTCTGCTATCAATGTTCAGAAGACTACGGCAAAAGGTCAAAAAAAGAAAGAAAGCAACCAACCAATGTCATCAAACATATAAAAATTAAATATATATATATATATATATATATATATATATATATATATATATATATATATATATATATATGGAAAAAATGAAAATAAAATGACTGGACGGTCCAGTGCACTATGTTCTCCCGCGAGAACATACTGCAAAATTATTACAATGGCGTTCTCCCGGGAGAACATAGTTATAATTTTACTATAACTGTGTTCTCGCGGGAGAACATAGTGCACTGGACCGATTTTTACATTCAGTCACTGTACACTCACTAAACCTTATATATATATATATATATATATATATGTATATATATATATATGGGGAGGGATCATTTGACTCCAGAGTAAGATTTAAAAGTCTTACTCTTCATCCCAGCCCTTGATTTCCGTTCATCCAACGGTTATCATTTAGTAATTTAATGCATTAATTAATTATTAATTTCAAATAAATGATAACCGTTGGATGAACGGAAATCAATGGCTGGGATGAGGAGTAAGACTTTTAAATCTTACTCTGGAGTCAAATGATCCCTCCCCTATATATATATATATATATATATATATATATATATATATATATATATATATATATATATAAAACGCATTGATACATTAATATGTTAGCAATATCATCGAGATCATAATGTTTTGTCAAAATCCTCCACATTTTTTTTCTATAAAAGAAAATTTTCTTTTGCTTATTCTACAAACCACAGCACATGGGTTACCCTCATATATGCTTGAACATAACGCATGCGAATACAAGCCCACCAGGTGAAAATGGTTATTATGTTCAAAGCAACTGTTCCATCCCCTATGCTTTAAGAAGTCTGCCGAAGGAAGGATAATATATACAATTTTATTTTGCAACATTGTGCATGCACATGGAACTATAGCATACAACACTTAAGGCCAACACAACCATTTTCGTCAAAATCTTTGTTTAATTTTGTGTCTCTAAAATCATAGCCGTCACCAGTACATTGATAATTAAGTAAGCAACATTTGTTTTTCTTGCAATTACAATTAGACTTCTAAATGACCTATTAAGCAATTAATATATATGTAACATTAATTTCTCTAACTGATAAGATTTTATTCTTTCTTGCAATTGCATTCACAGTTTGTATCTCTGTCATTCTTCGTTATCATTTTCAATTTAGCACACACGTGTCTGACCTTCACACGCCACCACCTAAGAAATATCCGTATAAATATAAGTGCTCAACATTAACACATAAAATCAGTAAACAAAAAACATCATACATTGGTGGTGCAAACTTAACTCTTATTGTTGATTTCTTCATTCTTCTTATTCTTCACTAAAAAATGATGATCCTGGGAAAGATATTCCTCATACTCTTATTGTTATCTTCAGTTTTCTCAATAGCCTCATCAAGAAGAGGACATTCATCAAGCAACATAGATTGGTGGTGCAACCTAACCCCACACCCTAAGCCATGCAAATACTACATTGGTCAAATGAATCACCATTTCACAATCAAACACAGAACTGAACTCAGGGGAATGCTTGTTCAACTGGCCTTAAAGCAAGCTCTTATCATGCAAAAGGAAGCACATGATTTTGAACAAAACATGGAGACAAAGAAGCATAGAACTGTTCATGGTGATTGTTTAAAGCTCTATGAAAACACCATCTTCCATCTCAACCGTACCCTCGAAGGCTTGCATGATCTGAAGAGAAGCTGTTCCCCTGTTGATGCACAAACATGGCTAAGCACTGCTCTTACAAACATTCAAACGTGTCGAACCGGGGCTGAAGAACTCAGTGTTCAAGAATTCATGGTGTCAAATGTGAGAACCAATGTCACAGAGATGATAAGGAATAGCTTAGCAATCAACATGGATTTCCTGAAGGAAAATTCACATAATAAGCACACAGAAACAACAGAAGAAGCATTTCCAAGTTGGTTTTCAACTCATGAGAGGAAATTGTTGCAGTCTTCAACTATAAAGGCAAATCTTGTGGTAGCAAAAGATGGTTCAGGAAATTTTAGGAGTGTCCAAGAGGCTCTTAATGCAGCTGCAAAGAGAAGAAACAAGATAAGGTTTGTGATACATGTGAAGAAAGGTGTGTATAGAGAGAATATTGAGGTTGCAGTGAACAATGATAACATCATGTTGATTGGTGATGGGATGAGAAATACCATAATAACAAGTAGCAGAAGTGTTCAAGGAGGTTTTACAACTTATAGTTCTGCAACAGCAGGTAAATGATTTTCCATCTCATTTCTCTTTCACTTCCTATGTTCTGTTCACAATATATTTGCGTATACCTGGGTTAGCACCAGATCAGAAAATCATTGATTACATCATTAATTAATGATTTACTATCGTAGTAAATTAATGATTAGTTAGCATAAGTAATATTATATTAACCCAGTGCATTCAATTCAAGAATTTAATGCTCATATATTATAGTAAATATTGGTTTTTCTTCTTTTCTAGATAAATTACTTGTTGATGTTATCCCAGGTTCATATTGTTAGACCTATCAATAGATGCAATCTGTCTTCTAAACTCTGAAAGTAAAGATTTCATTTAACAGAGTTTTCATAAGATTTTAAGGGAAATGTTCCATCTCCACATGAAATCCTGACTCCTGATCGAGTATGCTAATGATATTGACTAAAATTATAGTTTGGTTATTTTCCATAAAAAAAGAAAAGAACATGTTAACTAATAATTAATTTGCCATTATCATATGTAGGTAAGATATACAGGATTCCATATTAAGGAATAACAAAAAATTTCAATTTGAGGCTTTCAAGGTGGAATATTCAGCGCTTCATCTTCAAACCTAGGCATCTTTATTTGTTACTTGTCTCTTACGGCACCTTGTTGAATACTAATTGGTTATACTCTTTCCAAAGAAATGAAAGCCTCAATTGTTTTTTTTAAATATATATCCCAACAACAATTTTAAATATGAAAGACCAATACTCATGTGACTAAATAATTTTGATTTATCCAACCGCATGCTTTTACATGATTATCTAATTTTGTGTTAGATATTGTATCATTTTTTTTAAAATAATCGTCCTTTCTATAATTGCTATCATAAATAAACATTTACGGAATACATAAAATAGCTTTTTCTTTTTCTTTTTTGGATACATACATAAATTAGCTTTACATCTTAAAATGACCACAAAGTGA